AGAAACAGAAACAGAGGAAATAGCCGTGGAAGACCTAACTCGAGGAACGGAAGGTCAAAGTCCAGGAACCACAAGGGTAAGAAGGAGATTGATTGCTGGAATTATGGTAAGTTTGGCCACTATGAAAATCAGTGCCGAGAACCCAAGAAGGACAAGGAGAACAAGACTGAAGCGAACGTGGCCTCAGGAGAATTAGATGATGCCCCGATCTGTTCGTTGGAAAGCAAGACTGAATCATGGGTGCTGGATTCAGGAGCTTCGTTTCATGCTACCTCAAATAGAGATTTATTTGAGAACTACGTTTCAGGAAACCTAGGAAAAGTCTATCTTGGTGATGATCAGCCTTGTGATATTGTTGGCAAAGGAGTCGTGCAAATCAAGCTCAATGGGTCTACATGGAAGCTGAGCGATGTGAGACATGTTCCTAGCTTGAGGAAAAATCTGATTTCCATAGGACAATTGGCAAAAGAGGGATACGTTTCAACCTTCGCATGTGATACATGGAAGGTTACAAAGGGATCCATGGTTTTTGCCCGTGGTACGAAGACTGGATCTCTCTACATGACGATAGATGCATGAGGTTCCATTACAGTGGCTAAAAGTAATGAAGACCCAAATTTGTGGCACCAGAGGCTAGGTCACATGAGTAGCAAAGGCCTAAAGGTTATGCAATCGAATGGGAAGTTACCAGGTTTGAGATCGGCTGATATTGATTTATGTGAAAGCTGCGCTCTTGGGAAACAAAAGAGAATAAGCTTCAAAAGGGTTGGCAGAACTCCTAAAGAAGAGAAGCTTGAGTTAGTTCACACAAATGTGTGGGGTCCAACATCAATTACATCCACCGGCGGAATGTTATATTTTGTAACCTTCATAGATGATCACTCGAGGAAGACTTGGGTCTATTTCATGAAATACAAATCAGAAGTGTTTGAAGTCTTCAAAAGATGGAAGGCTATGGTATAGAATGAGACCGGTTTGAAGATCAAGAAGCTTCGTTCTGACAACGGCGGCGAGTATGAAGACTCAGAGTTCAAGAAGTTCTGTTATGACAGCGGCATTAGATTAGAGAGGACAGTGCCAGGTACACCCCAGCAGAATGGCGTAGCAGAACGCATGAACAGAACCTTGACTGAGAGAGCCAGAAGTATGTGGTTACAAGCAGGTTTTCCAAAGCAATTCTGGGCAGAAGCAGTCAACACAGCTGCCTACTTGATCAATCGGGGACCATCAGTGCATTTGGAGCACAAAATACCTGAAGAAGTATGGAGTGGAAAGCAGGTAAACCTCTCTCACCTAAGAGTATTTGGATGTGTTTCATATGTACATCTGAGTGATCACGCTAGAAGCAAACTCGATCCTAAGTCCTTAAAATGTTTCTTTGTTGGCTATGGCAGCGATGAGTTTGGCTACAAGTTCTGGGATGAGCAGAACAAGAAAATCATCAGAAGCAGGGATGTGGTCTTTAACGAATCAGTCCTCTACAAAGACCGTGATGCAGTTCAGCCCACTAGCTCGATGCAGAGTGATCCTACATATTTCGAGTCAGATGATGCCTCAGATGGAGGCAATCCCGAAGCTAGTTCTGATGAAGAAGAAGAGATGATGGATGAGACCACTTCAGAGGGGGCAGATGAAGATGAAGAGCCTGTTTCGCCCGTTAGAGAGTTGAGGCGGTCAGCTAGAGTTCCAAAGTATCCATCACTACAGCCTAGAGCTCATCTCAACTACCTATTGTTGAGTGATGGTGGAGAGCCAGAAAGTTATGATGAGGCCCTCCGAGTGGATGATGCGAGCAAGTGGGAGCTTGCTATGAAAGATGAAATAAAAGCCTTGAACACCAACAAGACATGGGAACTTGCGAAGCTACCAACGGGGAAAAAGGCCTTGAGCAATAAATGGGTGTACAGAATCAAAGAGGAACATGATGGTTCCAAGAGATACAAGGCCATATTGGTGGTTAAAGGATTTTCAAAGAGGAACATGATGGTTCCAAGAGATACAAGGCCATATTGGTGGTTAAAGGATTTCAGCAGAGAGGAGTTGATTACACAGAGATCTTCTCTCCAGTAGTCAAACTAACTACCATCAGAACAGTCCCGAGTATTGTTGTAGCTGAAGATCTACATCTCGAGCAGCTAGATGTAAAGACAGCTTTCCTCCACGGTGATCTAGAGGAAGAGATATATATGCAACAGCCAGAGGGGTTTACTCAGAGGGGAAAAGAGAAGATGGTATGCAGATTGAAGAAGAGCTTGTACGGCCTAAAACAAGCTCCAAGGTAATGGTACAAAAAGTTCGATGGATTCATGCACAGGAACGGTTACTCCAGGTGCAATGCTGATCATTGCTGTTTTGTCAAAGAGTTTGACAAAAGTTACATCATCCTGCTCCTATATGTCGACGACATGCTTATAGCCGGTTCAGATATGAAAGAGATCAAGAAGCTGAAGAAGCAGCTGTCGAGTGAGTTTGACATGAAGGACCTAGGTGCAGCGAAGCAGATATTGGGAATGAAGATTAGCAGAGACAAACTCTTAGGCACACTACGACTATCTCAGGCCGAGTATATTCGACGGGTGCTTGAGAGGTTTGGGATGAGCGGTGCTAAGGCCGTTAGCACACCGTTAGCCAGTCACTTCAAACTGACTAAGGAGCAGTGTCCCAAGACTGATGAAGAGAAAGACTACATGGCTAAGGTTCCATATGCTTCAGCCATTGGAAGCCTTATGTACGCCATGGTATGCACGAGACCTGACATTGCCCATGTAGTGGGAGCTGTGAGCAGTTTCATATCAGATCCAGGAGAGCAGCACTGGGAAGCAGTAAAGTGGATTCTGAAATACCTGCGAGGTACAATAGAAGATTTTTTATGCTTCAGAAGAGGCAAGTTAGTTCTGCAGGGTTTTGTTGATGCAGACTATGCTGGTGAGATAGACCAGAGAAGGAGCACTACAGGATATGTATTCACTTTGGACTTTATAGCTATTAGTTGGGTTTCTCAGTTGTAGAAGATCGTTGCTTTATCAACGACAGAGGCTGAATATGTTGCTGTGACAGAGGCAATCAAGGAGATGATATGATTGCAGGGTTTCTTGGAGGAGCTGGGACAGAAGAGTGAGAAGAGTGTCTTACATTGTGATAGCCAGAGCGCAATTCATTTGGCAAAGAATCCCGCTTTTCATGCAAGGACCAAACACATACAGGTCCGCTACCACTTCATAAGATCAGCATTGGACGAGGACATGTTGGAACTTGTGAAGATTCAAGGAAGCAAGAACCCAGCTGATATGCTTATCAAGGTTGTCACTACAGAGAAACTGAAGTTGTGCTCAACGTCAGTTGGCCTCAGCACTTGATGATACGGAGGCCGTCGCCGCAGAGAGAGCTGAAAGAGGTTGATAGTTAGTCTCCAAGTGGGAGATTGTTAGGATATGTGAAGCCTAACTATCAGGCGTGCCCTACACTTCAGAATGAAGAGGAACAAAGTTGGAACAAGAAGAACATGATTGACGATGACAAAGTTCAAGCAAAACGACGAAGGAGAGCTTTTACAGCTTTGCGGTCGACCGCCCATGGCGCGGCGGTCGACCGACGACGTGCACAGGCAGTACGGCGGTCGACCGGAGTCGTGTTTTGGCCCAGATTCGTTTTTTAACCTGTTTTGTTCTGTTTCCTTCTTTACTTGTTAAACCCTTAAGTCTATAAAAGGGTTAGCTAGGGCATGATGTATTGAGACGAAAAGTAGTGAATTTTTCTCCTGCGGCGGCCGTGGACGTAGTTTCTCACATTGAGAAATGAACCACGTAAATCTTGTGTGTTTGAGATTGTTTGATTTTTCTCTCTTCTCTCCTAAATCTCTATTTCCAAATCGCATCAGGAGGGGTTGTGTATCCCCAACATCTTACCCATCAATAAGCAAAGGAGAAGCCCATCAATTGTACCGGAGACCCTCTAGTAGTTCCTTCAACTTGATTTTCTTCTCTAATCTACTCCAAAAGCAATATGTGTTAACTAAGTTGTGCATTGCTCTTGCTTCTTCTGTATATGTTTGATTTCTAAAGAAAATTTGAAATTGAAAACACATAGAAAAAAGTACGAATAAACACCATGTAGTATATTCCTGTAGTTCTAAAAGTGAAAAGTGCGGATAGACCCCATGTAGTGTCTCCCTATAGTTCAAAATGAGCGGATAGCTCCTGGCTGAACTTTTTTGTTTTGTAGAGGCGAATAGACACCCTACAATTCTATTAGTGTAGCTCTTGATGAAAAATTCTTAGGAGGCGTTCAATAAGCACCAAGGTGGCATGCGCCACCCTAAATAGAGGGGGAGGGGGGCATGATCACTATCAGTGAGAATAAAATCTCATAAATGAGAAAATGGTATAAATGAGAAAATGGTAGGATGTTGTATGGCACAAGGCCTATGCCTATTGGGGCACCTAAGAATTGTTTTGTGTGATGTGACTTCCTATTATTGGGGTATTATTGGGGTGGTGTATGTCACTTTGGTGCTCATGTGTCACCTACAAATTTTTTTTTCCAAACAAACATATTGTGGTGCTCATGTATCACCTACAATTTTTGTCCAAATAAAACCCGCTTTGCTAATTATTTTAACTTTTAAAAGAGTCAAGTAAAAGATTGAAGTAAATTTTAATGAAGGAATCTATCCGCAGTAGGACAAATAATATAGGGATTATTTCCACACAATTAGAACTACAAAGGGTCTATCTGCAACTGGACGCTACTAAGGGGTCTATTAGCAACTAATCCTTTAAGAATTTAAACGTAGCTGCAATTATATAAATAACATATCCTATCAAAACACCTAAGGGTGCAAACATCCGCTCTCATGCAGGCTGTGCGGATGGGATTTGTACTCCATACGAGACTCCAACTAGTCCTACCCAAAGCCACCCTAGAAGTGACTGCATTTGATGCCACTACATTTGTATCAGACCGCTCAAACATCTAAAATTGTGCTTCCATAAACATCCCACTTAAGCAAAACCACACCAATCACAAGCTTCTATCAAACTCTTCAGATACAACAAACAAGCACACTGCCCTCCCTTCTCATATACTCTGGAAAAACCTTTTTTAAGTTACAACAGAGATCAAGTTAAGGATTACAATGCTAACATGGTTCCTATGTACATGGCAAAAGAACTTGCGATTTATGCTCATTGAAATTGCTGCCTATTATAAGTGTCTTCATGCACAAACACAGGTTGTTCACTTCGTGGAGGGATCTGAGGCTGGCCTAGAGCGATCCCTTGGTTTTGCGGTTGAGTTCCCCAAGGCTGAGGACCGGCAGTGTTCTTGGACGAAGAGAGAGCAACATAATAAATTATCCCGAGAGCTACGCTGGCGAGAGAAAGGACCGCTCCTCCTGAAAATACTCCTGGCTTGACGATGTAGCAATAGTCACCCAAGTACATGTTTTGCTCGTCCTTTTGGTCGTTCAGTGCAGCACCAGATAGTAGCAAAAGGAATGCTATTATGAATGTGATCCTGAGAATGATGAAAATAAAGTTATAAAAAATCATAATAAAACATTCATGACGTTTTTTTTTGTTTGGAAATAATGTGTATCATTGAATTAAAATAATAAAATTTTATATAAGAGCGAGGATATGTAATCATTTATAGTTCGCTGTTGGTGCAATGAATTGGGTTTGGTAATTGAGGATTGGTTCCATGGTTGCAATTTTACACACACGCAACATGAAAAGGTGGGATCCAAGATAAGATTGAGAGGACTGAAAACGATCAAAAGCCATTTGGGAGTCGTCTCCAAATACTCCCGCCACTTAAAGAACATTGATTCCAAGTCTTCAGCTACTGTTTGTTAGCCCTAGCAAGACCCCGAAAAAAGTCAAACATTTATTTTATACAAGTCATAGGGTCACCAAATGATGTGGCAGTCTTTAAAATTAGATGTGCTCTCCAACAAGTCAATTTATAGCTAGTCAATGTCGAAAGATTACACTGTTACGATCAAAGTGACCTTCATTTTAATTTGTTTGATACTAGTAACTTTCCTAGTCTAGTTTTCCGAAAAGCCTAACTTCAAGCCATCACAACCCTTATTGTTTGAACTACTTCCTAGCTAATCAAACTTTAATCAAGCAACAGACATGTGACATCTTACTAAAATTCCCTCCATACCGACTGAAAAACATACGAAGCATTTACTGTCATGATAATGGTCTTGCAATTCAACAAATGAACAAATATTCAACATAATCAGGCTAATGATAATTGGCCATGACCTCACACGTGCACAAAAGAATGAAGTTGGAAGGTTCTGAGCTCGATGGAAGTAAATTCCTGTTGGCGGCGACCTCGATCTGCTGTATAACGGGCTCTCAAATCTGGAATTTCATATTATGATTCGAACAAAAATTTCTCACTTCCTCAAATAATTTATCCCATCCTTCATCTCTAAGCTTTTGAATGAGTGATTTTGTTGTTGAAACTAGTTGCATAGCATTCACAATGTCTTGATTTTTTCCCCTTGCAAAGCTAAACAAGGAGCATTTGTAATCCCCATAATTTCTTTCATCAAGTGCAACATGAACATAAAATCAAATGATGTCATAACATAATAAGCTGCATCTGCATCACCAAGTTGAGCATATGTGGCTCCATCACTGATGATATTCTTTAAAACCAAGCGACTTGCAGATTACCAATTTGATTAATTCTTGTTCTAGTCTCAAGTTCACCAATAATAAACAAATGTTCAATCGAAGTTGCTTGAGAAGATTGCAATTCATTTGCAATTCATTTGCAATTCATCTTTTCTCTTAGGAGAAGCGTATATAATATTGACAATTGAAGTTAGCTTCAAAAAGAACTGATGAATAAGAGATATTTATCTTGATGCAGCCACTAGGCTAATTGTAATCTATGAGCCAAACAATGTACATAATATGCATAAGGACATTCATTAGAAAAATAAAGCTTGAAGGCCATTCCACTCACCTCTCATGTTACTCGCACCATCATAACCTTGGCCTCGAAGGTTCTTAATATTAAGATCATGTCGAGAGGGAAAAACAACTATCTCTTTCTTCAAAGTTAATGCAGTAGTGTCTTTGACATGCACGAGATCGAAGAAACGCTCCTGAATGAAACCATCTTGATTAACAAATCAAAGAACAAGTCCCATTTGTTCTTTTTCGGATTCATCTTGTGCTTCATCAACAATAATACATAATTTTGCATTTTTAATTTCTTCACGGATTGTTCTTCTTACTTTGCATGCAAATACACATAAAATCTCTTTTCGAATTTCATGGGAGGTGTACTTAGCATCTTTTGGAGCATTTTCCATGACAACTTTAGCGATATTTTCATTGTACAAAGCTAACATCTTTATCAACTCCACGAAATTACCTCGATTCTTAGAATATTTGATAGTCATCAATTAAAAAAGCTAACATCTTTATCAACTCCACGAAATTACCTCGATTCTTAGAATATTTGATAGTCATCAATTAAAAGGAGACATTTTCTCAATCTTTATTATAGTCATTGCAGTCGCGGAAGTAGCTATTGTACTAGCTATTGTTTCATCAATCTATCATAACAGAAAATCAACTCGTATCAATCAATCAAATTTGTTGAATAATTAGTCATAACTATTATATAAATAGATATTTTTTCATTTTTTATTCTTTTAAAGTAATATGTATAATATTATATTTCCATATTACTATTGCAATATTGACAATGCATTGACCGATGTCAATGTGAAGTCATATGCGTGACACGCATGATCATGGTTGTTGAAATGGAAATCAAAGTCTCTTAGTCTTTTTTCATGAACAGATTTAGAAATATATATTGATTCTTAAGATTTTTTTGATAAACCATTGATTCGTCTTTTTTCATGAACAGATTTAGAAATATATATTGATTCTTAAGATTTTTTTGATAAACCATTGATTTGTCTGGTGTCTACAATATAAATATAATTCATTTACTCTTGCTTTTACTTTACCAAATCGAAATTTTTTTATGTTCAAAACTAGAATTTGTAGACCCAATGTCGCATTCAGTAAAAATTTATGATACATGCATAGGATGTACTCAATGTGTACGAGCCTGCCCCCCAGATGTATTGGACCTTGGAACGGATGTAAAGCTAAGCAAATTGCTTCTGCACCAAGAACGGAGGACTGTGTAGGTTGTAAGAGATGTGAATCCACCTGTCCAACCGATTTTTTTGAGTGTCCATATTTATTTATGGCAAGGTTTTAAATATCGGATATCGGGGAAATATCGGATGACCAAAATTCATATCGGATTGCGGATATCGGGGAAATATCGGGGATATGTGGTAAATATCGGAATGCCATAATGAATGTTTGCACACATAGTATAATGCAATAAAATGTAATCTCAACATATGTAATAAAATTTAAGCATACAAACTATGAATAATATATGTTTAGGATCACTAATCAACCTTCTAAAACAAACAAAAGTGTAAAACAACGTTGCAACATTCGATCTGCTTTTTTTAGGGCAAAATGTTATTTGATATAATGGGAAAATCTTAATATCTCGCCCAAAAATTCCAAACACGGTATATTATTTTGTAATAAGTTATATAAAAAGATATATTGGTCCACATATCGGCTAATATATCGGCCATAACGGGGATTTATCACTCAAAATAGCCAAAAAACGGTAAAGGATATTTAAAGACCATATCGGTTGCGGCAAGCCCTGTAAAAGGAAATATCGGGGGATATATCAGGCCATGTCGGGGATATTTAAAACAATGATTTATGGTATGAAACAACTCGCAACCAAGGTTTTAAATATCGAATGTCGGGTTCATGTCGGATGGCTAAAATCCATGTCGTATAGCGAAAATCGGGGATATATCGGGGATATTGACTAAATATCGGATTGTCATATCGGGTAGTGTGCATATGTATAATATCATGTCCTAAATGTAATCTAAACATTCATAAATTCAATATACGCATACTTTATAAATTCTATAGACACATATAAAAAAATAAATAATATAAGGATTTGGGTTCATAAATTCTTTCTATCGGGTCCATAAGAAACCCTTAAACATGAGAACAGGTCAAACAGGTTTGAATGTTTATCACTAAACCCAAACCCGATAACAAAAAATAAATCTTTAAAAAAATACCATATCGGTCGATTTTTCAAAGCTAAAAAATAGATCGATATGCCCGATATGACCCTGATATTTCCGATTTGGTCCTGAAAACCGACATACGAGTTGAAAATGTCTATGTCTTGTCGATCAAGCCCTCAAACCGATATGTCGACCGATATGTCGAACATGTCTGCCGACATTTAAAACCTTGCCCGCAGCATGAGTCTATCTTATTGATATGTTATAAAAAAATCCACTTGAATCGTTTGATTCCTTTTTACCGACAAAAGTTCATACTCCATAAAATGTTAAACATCTAACACTATCTATTGAAGTCTTGAGATGCAATTGGTTATTCTAAATCTCCTTTGAATTTTTCTTCTAAATCAGTTTGTTGATGTGTTGTGTTTTTCATTAAATCCTTGCATTTCTTAATTTCAACATTATGTTATGAATTAGGATCCTTTCCCACATGCCACAGAAAAGGGCAATTCATTCCTTCATTGACTTTCTTCTAATTGTCAAATCCTTTGATTGTGAAAGTATCTAATCCTGGGCGGTTGGTTGGTTGCTTACTAAATAGATAGCATGGTAGATAATAAATTGCATTCGGAATACTCCAAACAGATGGAGTAAGCTTCAAACCAAGATGATTGAAATCAACAACGATGACTTTCTGGCCCGAAAAGAGCATTACTTTTGAGAGTTGGTTGCTATGGGCCAACTTTAAGGTAGGCACATATCTCATCTCTTTGATTTCAAGGAAACTCTCATCTAGGTGGTCGCAATCCAGGATCTCGCTTCAAACCATGTCAGTAGGTTGAATTCTTTGACGCTTGGAAAAAGGTTCCACATGTGTTGACTTATCATCAAGGTTTTAAATATTGGATATCGGGGAAATATCGGATGACCAAATTTCATATCGGATTGCGGATATCGAAAAAATATCGGGGATATATGGTAAATATCGGAATGCCATAATGAATGTTTACATACATAGTATAATGCATTAAAATGTAATCTCAACATATGTAATAAAATTTAAACATACAAAATATGAATAATATATGTTTAGGATCACTAATCAACCTTCTAAAACAAACAAAAGTGCAAAGCAACGTTGCAACATTCGATCTGCTTTTTTTAGGGCAAAATGTCATTTGATATAATGGAAAAATCTTGATATCTCGCCCAAAAATTCCAAACACGGCATATTATTTTGCAACAAGCTATATAAAAAGATATATTGGTCAACATATCGGCTAATATATCGGTCATATCGGGGATTTATCACTCAAAATAGCCAAAAAGCGGTGAAGGATATTTAAAGAACATATCGGTTGCGGCAAGCCCTGTAAAAGGATATATCGGGGGATATATCGGGCCATGTCGAGAATATTTAAAACAATGCTTATCATGGTCTTCATCTAAATTACTAAGATTGCTTTTCTTGAAGAAAGATTCAATGGTTTTAAGTTTTTCCATTTTCACTATTATTTGAAATAAAATTAAATTATTTGAATATTAACTAAAGTATAAGCACAAAAGATTTTAATAACATTAGAACTTTAAATAATAAATTAATTAATCTAAAAATAAAAAGTTAGCTCTAGAAAAGATAAAACCCTAGGTTTCTGAAAATCTCCAATGCTTATGAAGAATTAAGTATTGTTGTCGGCAGTCTTCAATTACTTGAATTAGAACACTAGACAATGTACAATCCTCTTCTTCTCTCCTTCTCTTTAACTTTCTCTCTATGCGCACTCAGGAATTTTTATTTTGTGTTCGAGCGTTTTTTGTTGGGTATATTCCAAACCTAAAAGCCAACAAAGGGATTTCACATGTCTATAACCAACAAAATCCTATTCCTACTAATATATCATACTTCTTTTAAAAATACAAGTTTGAAAAAATCTTTCGGTAGATAAAAATACCCTTAAAATTTAAATACTAATTCATTAAGTAAGAATAAATTGATAAATTGATGAATTCTTATTGAATATACATAGTATGAAGATAAGGATATAATTTAAATTAAAATGTAAACCTGAATGAAATTATTAAATGCCAAATTCACAAATGTTTACAAGATGAAGGGCATATATGCATAAACCAAACAATTTAACGAGGAAAAATAATGTCTACTCTAAAGATCGAACCCAGGAGCAATGCAGATGTACAAATGTACATAATATGGACATGGTATCTGTAAAATCTACCAAACAAATTAAAAAGACAAAATCATTCTCAAAAATAAAAAACAAAAATTAAAACAAACGGCTGTAATTTGAGGACACAACGTGGCGATCTCTCACCGACTAAAATTTAAGGACACAACGTGACGATCTCTCACTGTAATTAATTATATTTTATATTTAATCTTTTTTCACATTAAGAAATAGCAATAATTTTCACAGCACTTTCATATCTATTTTTTCTTATTAGATTAGTTTAGATTATTTTAAAGCAATTAATTATATTGTATATTTGGTCTTTTTTTAATCAAGAAATTACGATAATATATCACAGATTAATTACCCACACACCTACTGTTTTCAAAACCACCATTCTCCATCTTCATCTATAATATATCCACATACCCAAATTAAGCTGCTAGAGTTTCTCCTCACCAACTACACATTTGGTCATTTCTTCTTTATTCTTTGTACTTAAATTGTATAACCTTCACTACGATGAAGACTCACCTGTGTCCTCTGCCTGCCTTGAACGCCTAATAAAAATAATAATATACTATGCTTTGTAGTTAGTTAATAATGAGATCCTATCATTATAAACAAATTTAGTAAAGATTAATAATTTTTAAGAATATACTACGTTCCACTAGCTTCCACTACAAACTTGTTAGTTGTTTATTTCTGGTCCCAAGATATTTTTAAAATTAATCTTGAGAGTTGTTTACACTAAAAGATTTATGTTAAAGCACCCATATAGTCTAGTTTATTGTTTAAATTTATCAACACGTTTTGTCTCTGATACATATCAATTATGAGTAATAATATAATTTGATTGATCCAAGTATATCCTAATATATTTCTAGAATCTTGTCATATCTTTTACTCTTTATTATGTATTGACCTGATATCACAATTGATTGAGATGATGAAGACATTATTGTAGAATTGCATGGGATAAAGATAAAGATGGAGAAGGTTTGATCTCGGCTTAATTAAATATAAAACAAGAAGGAATAAATGATAATTTTTTTGAATATTTTATAGTGAAGCTTAATTTTTGAGTAAAATTAGGAATTTTTAGAAGGAATTTTCACGCAAAATTTTTAATATGCTTATGTGAATGCTTTTGTCATATAAAATTATACTAAAATTATCATTAATCTTTAGTATTTATTTTTTTATTTTAAATCAATCAATAATTAAGATATCTTGTAGTATTGTAAAAAGTATGTGCTCTGTGCTAAGCTTATACAAACAATCTTAATATTAAGTATTTGGTTATATATTTATTAACACATCAACAATATATTATTGTATTTTTTTCAAACTTAACACTACATTTTATGACTAAGATAAACAAATTGAAGATCGATGATTTGATCCAATAAACAAATATGTTACATGAAGTTTGATATATACAAATTTTAAAAAATAATATTGTGTATGCAAGTATATAAAAGTATATTGATCCCAGTTTAACACAAATCTATTTCACCAAAATTTTTAAAAATATTTAAATTAAATTTATGGCAAATATAATAATCCATGTTATAGATTTTAACTCAAAATGAATCTGACTTATTTTATTGTAAGAAAATAAATAAATAATAAATAATTTTGATATTTAACCACGTGCATTGCACGTGCATAAAAACTAGTTATTATATATGTGTTGGACCCCACATTACTTTTTGTATCCATCTGATGGATGGGTTTGGCTTATTTATAGTCAAAGGTTTCAAGTCCATTAATAACAGTGGGCCCTATATTCTTTCAATTACTCACTTTGTAATAAACTTAGCCTACTTCCTTCGTATAGACTATATACTAGAGATACAATGCAAAAAAAAAATTGGAGGGGAGGGGGGCGCACCCCCCCCCCCCCCCAACAAGCCCACCTTGATGAACGCTAGCCTCGTGCCTTTGGTTAAAGGGAACTATATAAACCAAAATTTACTATAGGATTATTCTGAATTCAAAAAATCTAAAGTGCACATAAAATAAATTTAGAGGCTATCCGGTTGGCGACAATTGTAATTGCAATGCAAGTACCAGTCAAGTGCAATTATAGTTACTACAACTGTTGTTGCAGTTGTTGAGTGGTTCAGTTTTAAATTTTATACTTTGTAGTTGTAGTTGTCGGTCTTTAGTTTTGGGTATCAGGTGAACTTCTAACAGGGATTTGGTTGGCTCAGATTTGTAATTTAAACCCCATTTGCAGCGCAAAAAAGTTGCAACTGAGACTTACACCCAAATCTGCACAAGATATTGGCTGAACTGAAGGCCTTTTTGCAACTGTAGATGTAATTGCATTGAAACTGAATGCATCAGTTACAGTGAAACAAACAGACTTAAATCAACTAGAGACATACATGGGCAGGCATCAAAAAGTGCATGGTCTAGCAGGCACATGCAGAAAATATAATATCACAACCAAAATGATCTTCATGTTCAAAAGCATACCATGATACAGCGAAGGAGACCAAAGCTACAGACCAATTCCTATCTGATGGCCGTGAGTTCCTTTTGCAACATATGCACCCAGCTACAGTATTGATAATTACCTGAGCTATCATAAGAGCTACTGCTGCACCTAATCCAAGGGACAAAGCTGGGCTTCTTGGATACCTGCACTCATCCGGAGCTAGCGTTTGTACATCAGATGCCTGCAAGTGGAAAATAATTTTATGTCATAAGTCTCAAATGTCAGTCAACTACTATGAAGTCAAACATATGCTTGAGCAAATATAGAGAGTTTCCAGTGACGAATTTATCCGAGCTTGTTGAAGCATGAACACAGGAAGTTTGATGCAACCTATACATGTACTTGTGTAAACAAAAGGATATGCTTGTATACAGAATAAAAATTTGAGAGATCATTAAGAATGGGTTAGACATAAGGAGCAATCAAATTTAAAGTTATGGTAATGATCTTCAATCAAGTTTATTCAGAGATGCCATGATGTACGAGCAAGAGCAATACTTAAGCACACACATAGACAGAAACTCTCACAAAAAGATAACCCCAACATGAACACCACTAGGCATATGCATGATGATATTGTTTGCTCGTATGAACAAGAAACGGATAATTTATAAAGTCAAAAACAACTAGAAGCCTTATAATCCAAACTATTTAGAACTAGTTGGTAAAAATAGAATATGTAGAATGTAACTTTAGCAAAGTAGGAAATAAATGAGGGTACAGTTCACTTAGACGCAAGAAGAGCGTGTTTCAAAGAGAATGTTGCTGAGAAATGTATACATAGTAATCCCTTTGACTTATTATTAGAACCCCCCCCCCCACCACCTTTTCCTCATCCACCTAGTTCTTGCCTCCCGTTTTCGACCCATAGGTAGTCTAGCAGTTCTTTTTGCAGTGCTTCTCCAAATGCTAGGTATCATTCATAGGTGCTGTTGTTATTGTCATGTGGAATCATTGTGATAGCAAGATTGAAGCATGTTGTTCACAGAATTAGAGGGGGTTAAGTAAGAGGTCCCATCCACTGCAGCTTCGAAGTTGTGGTGAGGGTTGAGGATTAAAGCTTTATAGTTGGAATAAATGGTCAGCTGTTGCTGTAAAGTAATAGAATTTGCCCAAGCTAAGCAACAAAAACATCCTTAAAACAAGTAAAAGAAAAATAACACGTCATTACATTAATCACTTTCACCAAAACGCCCTTAAGAATCCTATACAATTAAGATAACATAAATAACAATTAAGGCAACAACCGCACGAAGATTCTCGCTCTTTTCACTCAATGTGCCAGAATGTCTCCTTCCAACGTGGCGGTGGCGGATCCAGGATTTTTGGATAGTGATGTCACCACATAATTAATAATTATTAAAAATGTTCCATGCAAGTCTTCATACATTGAGAAAACTAGATAATTACATTATTAGTAACACTATCAAATGTATCATTAATAACAATATCAAATACATAATAGCACTTTATCAACTCAACCGCAACGTATATAGCATATGAAGGCCTTTCGGTTTCCTCATAATCATCTTAAACCTTGTACATGCTGCTAGTACTGTTAATTTTGGAAGGTCTAACTAGTCTTATGGATTTTTTGAAATCTCATGAGAGACACCTCATAGTTTCATGCTCATGTTATGTTATTGAGTGGTAGGTTATTTTCTGACTTTGGCTAATCTTTCAAGTTACAGGAGAACAAATGACAATTAACCATATGAAAAATTACTAGCCATGCACATAAGAACCCTAGAAGGAAGTGGTGTCACGTGGCACCACTTCCTCCAAGGTAATCTGCCCATGCTTCCAAGAATCCAATTGCACGCATAAGTCATGTTAGTCTAAGGTGTAGACCCAAAGTTCGAGATGAAAGCTGGAATCAAAAGCTCAGAAAAACACGCAGACAGATCGGCGGTCGACTGGGTCGGTCGACCGCAAACGTGCACAGGAGCAAAGGAGGGCTTGGATCAGGTCGCGGTCGACCGGCCCGGTCGACCGCCAAACCCTGTAGGAGAAAACTGCTCTCGGGTTTTGCATCGGTCGACCGGGCCGGTCGACCGACAATGTTTCTGGAATCTGATCGGTCGACCGCGCCCGTAGGCACGTTGCCGAACCTCGTTAAATCTCTGTGTTCATCTCCTTTACTGTTTTTTTGCAAGTTAGATCTTTATTTGTGGTTTTATTCCTACTTTCCTACTTTCAACACAAGGTCCGGAAGGGCAAGGGTTCGATTGATTGTTTCGAATCCCCAACAACTGGTATCAGAGCTTCGTTCAGCAATTTGTGTGAAAGCCATGGCAGAGGAAAGCAAATCAAAGATTGAGAAGTTCGACGGATCGGATTTCGCCTACTGGAAGTCGCAGATGGAGGACTATCTGTACCAGAAGGACTTGTATCGCCCGCTTCTGGGCAAGGAAAAGGGAAAGAAGACGAAGGAGTCAGATGGTGATTGGGAGGTATTGGATAGGAAGGCTCTAGGGCAAATCCGGTTGTCGCTCGTCAAATCAGTAGCCCACAATATTCTGAAGGAGAAGACGACGGTGGGACTTATGGAAGCGCTCGCAAAGACGTACGAGCAACCGTCGGCAGCAAACAAGGTGCATCTAGTCAAAACTCTTTTCAACCTCAAGATGGCAGAAGGACGGTCCTTCACGATGCACCTCAGCGAGTTCAACACGATTGTTGATCAATTTATCTCCGTGGACATCACGTTCGATGACGAAGTGCAGGCCCTTCTACTACTATCACAGTTGCCGGATAGTTGGGCAGGTTGTGTGACGGCAATTAGCAACTCGGCGGGGAAAGAGAAGTTGAAGCTGAATGAGGTTGTTAGCATGATTCTATCCGAGGAGGTTAGAAGGAAATCGTCCGAATCAGAAGGTTCAGGTTCAGCCCTAAGTTTCGAGCAGAGAGGCAGAAGCCAGAAGAAAGGGAACCAGAACAGGAATCGGTCGAAATCAGTGAAGAAGAGGCCGAACTCGAAGGTTAGGTCTATCAAAGGGAAGTGTTGGAACTGCGGCCAGGAGGGCCATATGTCTTCGGTCTGTAAAGCACCAAAGAAGGATGCGGGTGAGCAGGAGGCTCATATCGTGCAGGATGCCTTGATCCTTGCTATGGATAGCGATTCTGATTCTTGGGTCATCGACTCAGGAGCTTCTTTCCACGCCACTGCAAATAGGAAACTACTTCAGAACTATGTAGCAGGGGACTTTGGTAAAGTATACTTGGGGGATAATGAACCTTGCAATATTGTTGGAAAGGGCGACGTTCAGATACAGATAAAGGGCTCTAAGTGGAACTTGAAGAACGTGAGACACGTGCCGAAGCTGAAGAGGAATCTTGTTTCGGTGGGACAGCTTGGAGCAGAAGGCTACGTTTCGACATTCACCGGGGATTCGTGGAGAATCTCCAACGGTACGATGATTGTTGCCCGAGGCAATAAAACAGGAACTCTCTACCTCACTTCACATGCGAGTGACACCCTCGCAATTGCAGCTGGCAAGGAGAGTACAGATCTGTGGCACAATAGGCTGGGGCACATGAGCGAGAAAGGGATGAAAATTCTACATTCACAAGGAAAGCTAACCGGGATCGACACCGTGGAAGTCGGGGTTTGTGAAGACTGCATCTTTGGGAAGCAGAAGAGGGTTAGTTTCCAGAAGGGTGGAAGGCCACCTAAGGCTCAGAAGCTAGAGTTGATTCATACAGATGTATGGGGCCCAGCCAGTGTGTCTTGGCTGTTCGAGATACTACGTCACCTTTGAGATCAGATAATGGTGGAGAATACGAGCTGGAGGAGTTCAAGAGGTTCTGTGCTACGAATGAGATTCGCTTAGAGAGGACTACTCCAGGGACGCCGCAGCAGAACGACATTGCAGAGAGAATGAACAGGACCTTGACAGAACGTGCGCGGAGCATGCGATTACATGCAGGTCTGCCTAAGATATTTTGGGCGGATGCGGTACATACGGCAGCATATCTTATTAATCACGGGCCATCAGTTTCATTAGATTTTGGGATTCCAGAGGAGGTTTGGAGTGGAAAGAAGATAAATCTCTCACACTTACGGGTATTTGGTTGCGTGGCTTATGTTCATATCAGTGACCATGTCAGGGACAAGCTAGAAGCTAAGTCACAGAAGTGCACATTCATTGGATACGGCATTGATGAGTTCGGGTATCGCCTTTGGGATGAGAAGAACAGGAAGATCATCAGGAGCCGGGATGTGATATTCAATGAGGAGGTGATGTACAAGGACAGAGATAATGCTAAGGATAGCCAAAACAGTGGGAGCAGCACTACGGATACAGGTGGATCCGAGTACATGGATTTGGAAGAACTTCCATATGGGGGCGACGATGTCAGTTCTGACCGTAGAATGGAGAAGACTACATGTGCAGAAGCTACTACCCAGGGCGTGGAGCCTAGGAGGTCATCTAGGATACCCAAACTAAATCCCAAATACCTCTCGTCACTTGATTATCTACTCTTAACAGATAGCGGAGAGCCGGAGTGTTATGAAGAGGCAGTGCAAGTGAGTGAATCTCAGCAGTGGGAGCATGCGATGCAGGAGGAAATGGATTCTCTATTTACTAATGAGACATAGGAGTTAGCCCAGCTACCTGCACAGAAGAAAACCTTGCACAATAAATGGGTCTACCGGGTCAAGCAGGAGAGTGATGGAAGTAAGAGATTTAAGGTCAGATTAGTAGTGAAAGGGTTTCAACAGCGAGAAGGAGTGGACTACACGGAGATATTTTCCCCTGTTGTGAAACTCACAACCATCAGAATGGTGTTGAGTTTGATAGCTGCAGAAGACCTCTTCCTTGAGCAGTTAGATGTGAAGACCGCCTTTCTTCATGGTGACTTGGATGAAGAAATCTACATGAAACAGCATGTTGGCTTCATTGAAGAAGGAAAGAAAAAGATGGTGTGCAAGCTCAAGAAGAGCTTATATGGTTTGAAACAGGCTCCGAGACAGTGGTATAAGAAGTTTGATAACTTCATGCAGAACAATGGCTACAGAAGATGCAATTCGGATCATTGCTGTTATTTCAAAAGGTTCGAGTCCAGCTTCATTATTTTGTTATTATATGTTGATGACATGTTGGTAGCAGGACCGTGTTTAGAAGAGATAAACAGTTTGAAGAGGCAGCTAGCAAAGGAATTTGCAATGAAGGATCTGGGTGCAGCGAAGCAGATTCTAGGGATGCGAATCAGTAGGGATGAAGCTGAAGGGACATTGAGTTTGAGCCAAGCTGAATACATTGAGAAGGTACTTCAGAGGTTCAACATGCAGAATGCTAAAGTTGTTAGCACACCCCTTGGAAGTCAGTTCAAGTTATCTGAGGAGCAATCGCCTAAGACAGATGCAGATAGAGAGCATATGAGCAGGGTGCCATATTCTTCAGCCATTGGGAGTCTCATGTACGCGATGGTTTGCACGAGATCGGACATCGCCCATGCAGTAGGAGTTATGAGTAGGTTTGCTAGCAATCCAGGGAAGCAGCATTGGGAGGCCGTGAAGTGGATAATGCGGTACTTGAGAGGGACAACAAACAAACCACTATGTTTCAGGAGGAAGGAATTGGTACTGCAAGGATACGTGGATGCGGACTTCGCCGGTGATCATGATACGAGGCGAAGCACCACGGGGTATGTTTATACCTTAGCGTCGACAGCAGTGAGCTGGGTCTCACGTCTGCAGAAGATTGTGACTTTGTCTACAACCGAGGCTGAGTATGTCGCGGTGACTGAAACAAGCAAGGAGATGATCTGGTTGAACAGGTGCTTGGAAGAGTTGGATCTGAAGCAAGAGAGAGGAGTTCTTTATTGTGATAGCCAGAGCGCTATACATCTTGCCAAGAATTCAGTATATCATGCCAAAACTAAGCACATCGACGTCAAATACCATTTTATACGCTCGCTGATCGAGGACGAAAAGTTGCATTTAATGAAGATTTTGGGGAGTCAAAATCCGACGGACATGTTGACGAAGGCAGTCACCATTGAAAAACTGGAGTTGTGCGCAACTTCAGTTGGCCTTCACGAGTAGAAGAAGAAGGCGGAGCCACACTACGAGGATCGGCGAGATCACCGGGATATTGTTGATTGAAGGAAGAATTCTTTCAGGGAAAAGATACATACGAAGAAGGGGAGAGTTCGGGGGAACTCATTGCAGGCATTTTGGTCTCAAAGTGGGAGATTGTTAGTCTAAGGTGTAGACCCAAAGTTCGAGATGAAAGCTGGAATCAAAAGCTCAGAAAAACACGCAGACAGATCGGCGGTCGACCGGGTCGGTCGACCGCAAACGTGCACAGGAGCAAAGGAGGGCTTTGATCAGGTCGCGGTCGACCGGCCCGGTCGACCGCCAAACCCTGTAGGAGAAAACTACTCTCGGGTTTTGATTTCGGTCGACCGGACCGCCAAACTCTCTGGAGTCTGTTCGGTCGACCGGACGTAGTTTTGACAGTTTCCTGTTCTGTTTAGAAATCTGTTTCAACCAGGATTCTATATATACCCCAAATGATTTTAGGGTTTGTACTACATCAAAAAGAGAGTTTTTGACTGCAAAGAGAGAGAGAATCTCAGAGAGATACATCAAAAAGAGAGTTTTTGACTGCAAAGAGAGAGAGAATCTCAGAGAGATTAACCCCTTGTTTGAGAGCTTGTATTTTCTTCTTCAATTAATAAAGAGATTGTGTGGTGTGGCTCCCGAGGACGTAGGCACGTTGCTGAACCTCGTTAAATCTGTGTGTTCATCTCCCTTACTGTTTTCTGCAAGTTAGATCTTTATTTGTGGTTTTATTCCTACTTTCAACACAAGGTCCGGAAGGGCAAGGGTTCGATTGATTGTTTCGAATCCCCAACAAGTCACACTTCAGTCCAATCACTAATTCAATTATACATCCTGCTACTAATTGTTCAAGTAATTATAGTAAAAACTGACAAAAATAACATATCCAGAGAAATTTAGTAGCTAAAGCTCATTCACTGTGGAAGTACCAGCCCCCTATCTAAACTTCCCCTTAAAAAAAACAATTTAGATTCAGATATGGAACAAGCTTAAACTCAACACTCCACACTGAAATAAACCCCAAAACCTTCTATAAATAAACTCATCAAGGAAACAGCACCTTCACTGTACTTCCTTCAAATTCCCTAAAATTCCAGCATAAATGACAAACCCACAGTAATTACTTGAGGCAAAGAATCAACACAAAAATACACAACAACCCATAGTATGAATGAACAAGCATCATTCTCAAAGAGTTAATAAACTAAACATGAACATATAAATCAACACCAGAAACTGACCCAATAGAACTCCGAGGGGAAATAAATTCAAACCCATAACAAAAACCCCATACTTTATCCTCAAAATTCCTTTGAAATCCACAGAATTGCTTCTGCACGAGTCACAACAACTTAATTAAGCATCTATCTATCTGAGTAAAAACCCACATCCCAGAAGCTATCAAACTGCTTTTGAACCCCAACCAAACTCCTATCTACCACTAAAACTTCTGCTTTCAGTATTTTTTTTCCAGATAAAGGAAGATTTTTCACCTTGATCCTTGTAGCCTCTGCGGCGAAAGACAGCGCAGCAGAGAGGAGCCCAAGGAAGCCCACAACAGCACAGACAACCACCACCTTTCTTTCCATCGCCTCTCTCTCTCTCCCTCTCTCAAACTTTTGAGCAGTGGCAAAAAAACTTAAAAGACTTTTTTTCTTTTTTTTTTTGGGTGGTGGGGGCGCTGGAACCGTCTCAACGCGCAAGTTACGACAGAGAGCGAGAGAGGGCGCAAGTTATGAGAGAGAGAGAGAGAGCATCTGTGTATGTGTGTGCGCGCGAGTGGGATGGTTAGTTCCCTATTTGGGACCCTCTTTTGAAACGCCAACGCACCAAAAATGAACAAGCGATTTTTGCGTGTCAACACCTGGACCATCATCAAATATATTGCATTCGCATATTTATCCTCAAACCTGCATATCTATTACTTCTTAACTAAAGGAGAACAATAAAAAAAGGTTTAATGAACAGTAAATCTTAGGTGGACCAATCAAAAGGAGCCATGTCATATCCTCAAACTACCTCTTTTATATATATATATATTTTTTTTTTAAAACCAGCCCTCCTCAAACTACCTCTTTTATATATATTTTTTTAAACCACCTCCACCTCATAAACTGCCCCAAGTTCTCTCTCCTCCCCTCTCTCTCAAGATGAACGGAGGACCTTCTGGATTTCGTAAGCATTCTCCCAAAGATTTCATCCACCAGGAGAAAAAAGTTGCAATTTTTTTTGTTCCTTCAAAAAAAACCCAACCTCATGGGCGCTGACGACTCCGTCGACACCCTATCTAAAATCTCAACCTTCACCGATCCCTCACCACCCCCGCCATGTTCGCCATCCACAGCCTCTCACCCCCGGCGACCCCGCCGCAGGCGACGGCGACCCGAAACGCCCCTCGATCGTTTCTTCGAATCGCTTTCTTCACCCGCCTCTGCTGCAGTCAAAAAAGGTGATATTTTTTGCAGATCCAACCTCTTCCTTTAAAGAAAAGAATCAAACTTTAGATCAAATTAAACAAAAAAGAAACAAAATTTGACGGGAAGAGAGAAGAAAGATGGGATCTTGCATGTGATGAATAGCCTTTTAGAACATTTTTTTGTGTTATATACCTTTTTGGTCACGATATCTAAAACCCCAAGCATATCCTTTTTTCTTCAATTTTTTACATAGCATTAACAGGAGAATTGAAATTCCATTGTTTACATAGCATTAAAATTTTCAAGATACAGAGCTATCTCCAGAATCACAGGTAATTTCTTCAATTATAAGGGTTTAATCTTGCTTAATTACTTAACTGATTTTTATTTTTCAACCTTACTAACTTCTTTTTTGTGGGCAAAACGTCGACCCAGGTTGAAGTTCATCGTTCTCATAGGTTCTATTTTACAAAAGTCATTCTTCAACTACAAAATGCAAGTACGACTTCGGCATGCCAGTATTCTTTCTATTTCATCATTTCTAACTTTTTTACAATTTTTCAGCAGAACCACCAAGACGATTTGGAATTCCCAATTCTTCTATGTTTTATTTATAGGAGGCATTCATCACTTGCAAAACTCAAACAAATTTTCAGGTAATTTTTTAATTATCGAGAATATTTTTTTTCCTTTTCGATTTCAGATTTATTAGGTCAAGATTTGATTTTTTTTAATGTTTTAGTTCAGAAAGAATTGGAGAAAAAAGTTGAGGAGCAGCAGGTTTCGGAGGTTGCTGAGTTGAAGGTAAATTTCATGTTACAGTTGATTCTCTCTTGCCGCTTAGAAATGTTGGTCGAGTATATTGAAAGAATTATCAGCGTCGGTTGAGGTCCTTTTGTTCCTTCAATTTGTGTTCTCTATTATGTATTTATCAGCGTCGGTTGAGGTCCTTTTGTTCCTTCAATTTGTGTTCTCTATTATGTATTTGAGAGTTTTTTTTGTTGGCTTTCCAAGAAAAGTGACCTTCAATTTGTGTTCTCTATTATGTATTTGAGAGTTTTTTTTGTTGGCTTTCCAAGAAAAGTGAAATGACTTGATTTTTTGATATCCTCCTTATCTAGAGCAATTTTAGCAATCCTTCTATCTTGGTTGTCTAGGAAAGAGCTGAATCCCGTTTCAGCCAACTGCTCACTTTTCTTTACACAAGTAGAATGAGAATAAACTATATCACTGCTAATTAGGCCATGCTATTTTGCACATTTCTACTTTTTCAAAGACAGTCCTAAACATATTTGATGGATCGAGCACCCTCATCTGATCTGCTACCAGAATTACTAACTCGACAGAATTCGGAAATCAGATTGAAATGGATCAGTTATATAAGAAGAAATTCCTATTTTATAAAAGAATTTTATGCATTAAGATATAATAATAATGAAAAGAAAGTGTTATATTAATTTTCTTTTCCTTTTCCTATTTATATATGATATTAAAATTAACAATTTTATCCTCTTAACTAAATTTACGTGGAGATTACACAAACTTGAGTCAAGCATGCAATTATTAACTCGACAGAATTTGGAACTCAGTTTGAAATGTATCAGTTATATAAGAAGAAATTCATATTTTATAAAATAATTTTATGCATTAAGATATCCTTTTCCTATTTTTATATATATATTATAATTCTAGGGTTGGGGTTGGGGTCTAATCTTCTATGTTCTTCATTTCACATTAACATTGTTGATGTCAGTTATCAAACAAGGAATAATTTACAGGTTAGAGAAGTGATTAAGGGCCTCTAACTCCTTCTGATGTGTGGTTCTGGGGTTTGATGTTCTTCCTTGCACAAGAAAGAACTTGTAAGAAGACGGAGTTGGGTTCTCCGGTTGTTTCTCTGACGATCAAGTCAGTAGATGATCTTAAGTGAGAAAAATATAGGGTTAGCTCTTAATTCTGTAAAAAAAGTCTAGAGAGAGTTACCTCATGCAGTGCCTCTTCTTTTTATAGTGGATCTGAGGGTAAGAAGGTAACTTAGGCTGAGTCCACCTAGACAGCTGAGTCAGCAAACAGCTGACAGGTGTTGGCCGCTAGCAAAGATGGGTCATCCAGGTGGTCAGTGCCAAGCGACAATATTTGCTTGGTGATGACGGTAGCCTGATAAATCATAAAGACTTTGTTACCTAGAGAAATGATGACTTTGTCAGAGAAGTTAATGCAAAGACAGACGGTTGTCAGCACTGGGTTTGAGAAAACTACCAGCTCTTTTAGTCGTCCAGCTGATGGTCGAGTACAACTATTGACAGCTGCTACAATGAGCCGAGGAGAGGTTATTCGCAGGGGAAATTGGCCGGGTTTGCACAACAAGTATCGTCTTTTGACTCGGTTACGCGAGATGTCAGCCAAATAGCTGGCCGAGTTGGGGTTGGACGACAAGTACTGCCTTTTTCTTAGTTATACGAGATGTCAGTCCATTAAGTCGGTCGTACAGAGGGTGAGAATATCTTGATTTTGAATTAGTTATATTAGGTATAGTGTAAGACACGTGTCGATTAATCTGTGGAGATTAAAGTTTAGTATCTTTTAGGGGTATAACAGTTGGCCCCTTTCACTTGGAGTTGGCATAGGCTGGGTCAAAGTGAAATGAGATTGTGGATTTGCTGAGTCACGAGGTACGTTAATTAGGGGTGATCAAAAAGTTCCTTGGATGTAACGTAGCTTATATCAGTGGATATCTTTTCGCTGTCGTCGCCTCACCTTTCGTGCCTGATTGTGGGCTACTTAAGGCAGACGTGCCTTGCCTTAATTTCGAAGATGCCACTTCTAATTCTGGAGTTAATCACAGCCGTTGGTTTGAAACGGATCTGGCCTTTAGGATATTGGCATTTGTCGATCCAGTTGTCTATAAGTACAATAGTTGTGAAAAGAGATTTGTTTGTTTCTGAAAAATCTCTAAGTCCTAACCGAAAAAGAGAACTTTGCTTCTTCTTCTTCTTCTTCTTCTGGCAATCTTCTAAGGATATTATGATGGCATCTTCCACTCTTAACACTCGTCAGGGTCAGTTGAAGATGTTCTTCTCGAAGGTGACGTTGCCACAATTTAAGTCATTGTATCAGAAGTTCGATATTCCTTGGACTGACAAGCTGACATCACCAACGAAGTCATAGGCAGTGTTCGACCATGACGCGAGTAGGGCTCCTTTGTATATAAAGCATTTGGAGTGGGTTTGCGCCTACCTCTTCACCTATTCCTTTGCCATGTCTTTACGACATTGGGGGTTTCACCGATGCAGATGAAACAGAACTCGATCGCGACTGTAGTTGGGTTCATGGTTATCTATTATTGTTTGTGGGTTGAACTGACGTTGAGCATGCTCGCTCATCTAGTCAGTGTTAAGGTGCACCAGTGTGAAGACCACTTCCACTTTCAGGTGGTGGGGAGGTTCAAAATTATTTCCGACCCTCCTGATCGAACAAAGACTGGAAGGAGAAATTTGTCTGGGTCTCAGGGGATGACTTGTACTTATGTTGTTCGAATTAGCGTGAGACCATGAGGGAGACTATGACGGTGGGGCCATTGTCAGGTGCTAAGAGGTAAGCGCTGGAGAGGATCAAAGTGTATACCGGCTCCCGCAAGATGGAAGACTTGCTCGACAACTTCGTTTTGTGGGTGGTGGGTATCTCTCCTATGCTGCCTACTCCCGAAGACAATAAGAGGGTAGCCAGACTGACTCTGGACTCTGAGGAAGCTATCGAGGCGCCTGCTGCCTATCCTACGGGAGCTCAAGAAGAGCTCCCAAAGATGCTAGTGAAGCGTCCTCATCAAGGTCTGGCCCCCAAGAGGCTGAATTTGCTCATGTTCAGCCGACTAATGTGGCTATTGAGTTGGCGGGGACGTCCCTTGTGGATCGTCAGGCCAAAAAAAGGAGGAAGCTAAATAAAGTTAGTAGCCAGGGGCCTGGAAGGGAGGCCGAGGTAGAGACCAAAGTCATCCTTGTCGATAATGGGTCTCCAGCTCAAGAAGAAAGGGTTGACCTTTAGAGGGTTGAGGCTGAAGCTGTAGATGGAAGTGACATTCCAGTGGAGACAGAGGTCTCAGTTATGGACGAGAGAGTTTCAGGTGCTCCCATCGAGTCGACCCATCGCTAGGGGAAGGAGCTCGCCACCGAGGGGGTATCTCCCCCTGAGGAGTATGGATGGTCGTATCCTCACCGTGTCAATGAGATTGATTCTAAGACATGGGACAAGTTGCAGATGCTACTGATCGGGTCTCCCAAAGTTAGCCCTCGATATGAAAAGGAGCTGACTATGAAGAATAGGCACCTGGCCACTCGTCACTTGGACATGAGGGCGTCAGCGCTTGAGTCTCAGGTCACTCAATCAAAAGCGGTGGAACAGTTTTGGCTTCCTCGAGATGAAGAGATTTTGAGGGAAGTCCTAGACGTTGGTCTGCATCTAAGCCTCATGAGCTATTTAGTTCGTGGGGTTTTGATGGAGCAAGAAATATTGGGTTGAATGGAGCAGGCCAGTGCTTCCTTCCTTAATCTTCAAGAGGAGTCTACTACCTAGAAGACCGACTTAGAAAACACCCTACAATCGTTATCGGCCAAAGAGAACGAGCTGGGTGATTGGCATAGGGACATGGAGGTATGAGAGGGCATGATCAACAGCTTAAAGGCCTTAAATAGCCAAAAGTCTATCGAGATTGATAAGCTCAATCACGAACACCATGAGCAGAATAAGATGATATATTTTTTATTTGAGGAGGTTTTGTGTGGGAGGCGAGAGGCTAATCATGCCATGGAGCAGGTTGAGTCTAACTACTACTCAGAAGAGGAGCGGTTGCCTTGCCAAAACCTCCAGGAGGAGAGTGCTCAACATAAGTTATCCTTGATTGAGGCTTAAAGACGCATCACTCATCTAAATTCTGAGTCTTATTGATCGGAAATCATTGAGGGATACCGTTACAACGTTCTCGGAAAGGTATAGGTGATGATGGCTTGCAAGGCTGGACATGACTATCTTTTGATATAGTTTCCGGCCTAGTTGAAGAGTATACTCGACCGTTTCAGCTATCCTCTAAGGGTTGCCAACTATATGGATATGCTCTTGGAGATAGCGAGACACGGTGGGGGACTCAATCTTAGTAGTAGTGTTGCTAGGGATGACACTGATGACGAGACTATCGATGACTCGGGTGAGGAGGCTAACGGAGACTTATCAAAAGAAAGTTGGGCGAGTTTGTTGGGAAAAAAGTTGAGTGAGGGAGGTTAGTCAAAAATCTAGTCGACTCCTTCGCCACCTCCAGCTAATACTTCATTGCCTTTGACTCTTGGTGCTAGTGTTCATACACCCCAACCTCCTCTCTTATCCTCTTAGGTCTTGTGTATCTCCATATTGTATTTTTGTTTGTAAATCAACATGTAATTATTTCAAAAGATATAAAATAAATATATTTTTATCATATACTCTTTTGCATCTGAATTTATGTTTTCAATTTTTATGGATTGGGACGGGTCGATTTTTAGGTGGAACTGTTGAGTTACCAAAAAGATTCGGGGTTTGTTGCTTAAGTTTTTAAGCATTCTGGACAAGAGTCGACTCAATTATCAAACTCCAAGTGTGCATAAAGGAGGAGATCAATCAAAGAGGCAGTGTATGGTGACAAAAATTCATGATGACTTGAACTGGTAAAGGTAATAATTACAGTCGTTCGGTTTGATCCCAAAGGGGGGCGACTAACAACATGTTTTTTAGTCAGTTATGCAAGTTGCCGACCTGTTAAGACGACTACATGTGATGGCTAGGCCCCAGTAGAGATTTGAACCATCATCCGTAAGCGAAATTCAAGGAGCATTTATAGGGGAAAGCAAAAGGTTGTTGTTGAA